CAGGGCTGATGGCTGCTGCCTGGGAGGGCGGCTGCTAGACCAGTTTCTTGAAATAAGACAGCAGGGGCGCCTGGGCGGCTCAGGCAGTGGGGCATCCAGCTGGGCTTCGGCTCAGGTCGCGATCTCAGGGTCATGGGATGGAGCTGCGCCGGGAATCTGCTCAGCGGGGAGCCTGCTTCTCTCCCGGTCCCTCCCCCCGCTAGCTCTCTCTCTCTCGCTCTCTCTCGCTCTCTTTAAGGTAAATCAGTCAGGGGCGCCTGGGTGGCTCAGGCGTTGGGCGTCTGCCTGCGGCTCAGGCCATGAGCCCAGGGTCCCGGGATCGAGCCCCGCATCGGGCTCCCTGCTCGGCGGGAAGCCTGCTTCTCCCTCTCCCACTCCCCCTGCTTGTGTTCCCTCTCTTGCTGTCTCTCTCTGTCAAATAAATAAATCTTAAAAAAAAAAAAAGATAAATCAATCAATCTTTAAAAAAAATATTTCTAAGTGCTTAATTTGTAGCTTTATTTTTTAGCATTACAGACTTGGCAACATTTAGAGGCCTGATGGAGATTAATTCACAGAATCTGTGCTCCACTGCTTAGCAAGCCAGTAGATATTCAGTAGTTAAGTGTTTTAGTTTTGCCACATTCACTCACATATCAGACTGTGAAACGTATTCGTTTGTATAACTCACTCCTTTTTGAAACTCCTTATTTTAACTGCAAAAGAGGACACAGAAGAATCATGGCAATAAGATGATTTCAAAAGAAGTACATCCTGACAATTGAACAGCCCAGACCGTAATTTCCCCCTTGTGGAGGCTGCCAGGGCAGCAGCTTGGCTTCTGGTATAAATGTAGGACTCCTAGCAACTGGGATGACAAGGTAAAAAAAAAAAAAAAGAATGCAGTTTCCTTTCTACTGGTAACTTTAAAAAAAAGATCTGTATTTCTGCTACAGAAAACAACCCAACTAGAGTGTATAAAACTCAACGATACATTTTTGTCCAATCGGCTTACTTATAACTATGATCCTTAATATAGTATTTCAACTACTATATTTCTGTTATTTTTATTATTAACATATAATGTATTATTTGTTTCAGGGGTACGGGTCTGTGATCCATCAGTCTTACACAATTCACAGCGCTCACCACATCACATACCCTCCCCAAAGTCCATCACCCAGCCACCCCATCCCCCTCCCCTCCAGCAACCCTCTGTTTCTGAAATTGAGTCTCTTATGGTTTGTCTCCCTCTCTGGTTTCCTCTTGTTTCATAAATAAATCAATCAATCTTTAAAATAAGACAATAAAGTTTGCCACATCAATTGACTCTTCCTTTTCACGGTTTTCTCTGATGCTGTTTGAGAACACTTTACCCACAGTAGAATTTCTTTCAAAATCAGAGTCAGTCCTCTCAAACCCTGGGGCCGATTTATCTACCAAGTTTATGTAATGATCTAAATCCTTTGTCATCATTTCAACAGTCTTCACAGCATCTTCACCAGGAATGGATTCCATCTCAGGAAGCCACTTTCTTTGCTCATGCTCATCATGAGAAGCAACTCCTCATCTGTTCAAGTTTTTTTTTTTTTTTTTTAGATTTTATTTTTTTTTATTTATTTGAGAGAGAGAGAATGAGAGACAGAGAGCATGAGAGGGAGGAGGGTCAGAGGGAGAAGCAGACTCCCTGCCGAGCAGGGAGCCCGATGCGGGACTCGATCCCGGGACTCCAGGATCATGACCCGAGCTGAAGGCAGTCGCTTAACCAACTGAGCCACCCAGGCGCCCCTCATCTGTTCAAGTTTGATCCTGAAAATGCAGCAATTAGGGCATCTGGGTGGCTCTGTCGGTTGAGTGTCTGGCTTAGGCTCAGGACATGGTCTCGGGGTCCTGGGATCAAGTCCCGTGTCAGGGTCCCTGCTCAGGGGGAGACTGCTTCTCTCCCTCTCACAACTCTCTCCCTCTCTCTCAAATAAATAAATTTAAAACAAACAAACAAACCAAATCAATAATTCAGTCCCATCTTCAGGTTCCACTTCCAAAGAAACAATCTGAAATATTGCAGGAATTTCCAAATGTGACCCAGAGATACAGAGTTAGTAAATGCTGTTGGAAAAATGGTGTCAACAGACTTACTCTCTTGCAGGGCTGCCACACACCTCAATTTGTGAGAAACAGGACCTGCGACACACAAGAAAACAAAGCAAGTCTGTGCAGAACTGGGACTCTGACTCATACCATTCCACAAATCCTGATTTGGACCCTTTGCCATTCACTCCAGGAGGCCCTGTCTTCTATTCTCCCAGTTTCTGAGGATTCTTCTGATGGTTTTTATTATTGTCATCATCATAAAGAGCATCGTCATTATAATTATTGATGTTCATCAGCATTATTATAATTATTGCTGCAATGATTAATCACTGCTGTTGTTATAAAACATAAATAATGTTTCTCCATGCAATCAGGGTAGGATTTACTGGATAGGATGACTAGATATTCCCAACATATGCAAACATACAGGCGCTCCCTCACTCGATGGCATTTCCCCTGATAAGTGCCTGGAAATTTTCAAGTTCCTTTCCAGATGCCCAGAATCACTATTTCTATAGGGGAGACTTAAGGAGGGGATCTTGTCCTGCCTGAGCCCCTGGAAAATATTCTAAGGTACCTGGAGTCCAGTAAGGGCTCATGGCTGCTTAAAGGTACTGGGAGGGCATCCTTAGACCACCAGAGTCGCTTCAAATTTCCTAAGACCCCCAGGGCTCAAACACCACTGGGCGAGTTGACAAGTCTTGAGAGAAGTCCCCACCTACTGGCGCCTGTGCAGAATTTTCTTTCTTTTTTAAATTAAATTAAATTAAATTAAATTAAATTAAATTAAATTAAATTTATTTATTTGTCAGAGAGAGAGAGGAAGGGAGCACAATCAGGGGGATTGGCAAAGGAAGAGGGAGAAGCAGGCTCCTTGCTGAGCGGGGAGCCCAATGCGGGACTCGATCCCAGGACTCTGGGATCGTGACCCGAGCCAAAGGCAGACGCTTAACCAACTGAGCCATCCAGGCATCCCCAGAATTTTCTAAGAATATCCCAGAACCTGGGAGCCAGTGAGCCCACCCCAAGGCATCCCCTAGTGGCTGGGGAACACTGAGGAGGATGCCCAGGGACTGATCTCATGGTCCATCAACAGCCCCAGACAAAGAGCCCACATCCAGGAGTCCAGACATGAGTGTAGCTAGCAGAAAGTGCAGCAAGGCAGTCAGTACTGAGACAGGGCTGTGGCCTAATGTTTGCTGTAGGCAGGGCTTTGGACGGAGGCAAAAATGGATCTTAACTAAGTCCAGCTTCCCTGGAAAACATACACACAAACACATTTATAGGAATCAAAAGAAGAGCTGCCTCTGAATGACAATTTGTTTTCCAGATCAATTTTCATGTCCTGTCATATTTTGCTAATTTCTATTTTCAGCATTTTGGAACCATAAGCACATGTAAGTAATAATCTAATATTGCTCCTAGGACATGAATTGGATTACATAAGAAATACATATGACCATCTATTCTAGATGTCCTTCTTGATATAAACAAAACTTATATTAAACATATAATGTGTCATTTGGAAACCATATCTCAAGAAAACAAAATCCATGCAAGTAGTTTTTTACATTAAAATTTTTTTAAAGATTTTATTTATTTATTTGACAGAGAGAGAACACAAGCAGGGAGAGAGGCAGGCAGAGGGAGAAACAGGCTCCCCGCTGAGCAGGGAGCCCCATGCAGGACTCGATCCCAGGACCCTGGGATCATGACCTGATCCAAAGGCAGATGCTTCACCGACTGAGCCACCTGGGCGCCCCTCACTTGACCTAGCTGACAAAAATCATAAGCCCTATGACAGTGAGTTCCTAGTGCCCCTAAATACACATTTCTAATGCATGATGGGAAATAAGATATGAATAGACTTTCCATGACTCATCACACATTATGAACCTGAAAACTTTGTCCTGTTGGTCTTTCATATCTCAACCATATTGCACACTTCATAGATATCATTTCTTGAAAAGAAGCCTTATCAATTTCATATTTTTAGAATTTTTTTTTTTTAAGATTTTATTTATTTGAGAGAGAGAGAATGAGAGAGAGCACATGAGAGGGGGGAGGGTCAGAGACAGAAGCAGGCTCCCTGCCGAGCAGGGAGCCCGATGCGGGACTCGATCCAGGGACTCCAGGATCATGACCTGAGCCAAAGGCAGTCGCTTAACCAACTGAGCCACCCAGGCGCCCCAATTTCATATTTTTATTTCCATTCTAAAAATACCAAAACAAGCTCATTGAAGTACCATATGAAAAAACATTTGAAGAGGAAAAATGGATATTGTATTGTATGTATTGTAGTAAAACTTGAATACCAAAATATGATATTCACCCACTCCCTTTCACTCTTATTGTGTCATTCCAAGTCCGTTAGATCATCTGCATCCTCTATTTTAGCTTCCTTTTCTAGTAGAGCCAGGGCATTTTGGCCCACTGGAGCCACCAAAAAAAAAAAAAAAGTTCAAATCAAGCCAGGAACCCCCTTTGTCACCATGCTCGGCCTGACTCTTGAAATTTTCCAAGCGGCCACGAGGACCCAAGAGCCATAGCGTCTGCAGAATTTCCTAGGTCAGTTCAGGAGCCTGGGAAGTGCCACTGCCCCAAACGGGACTCTCACGGAAGGCTTTCTAGGCCCACCTTGGATGCCGAGGAGGGGAGGCTGGGACCGGTCGGCGCCGCACTCACCGAGACACAAGAGGCTGTCTCAGTCCCCAGCGGAACCAGGGAACGGCCCGTCCATGTCCCCCCAGAGGGCCGGCTAGGAACAAGAATGGCTGGACAATCCAGCCCATCCCTCAACGTTTGTTGAGGACAAAGGAGACTTGAAGAGCACTCACACTTAGTTGGAGACCTTAGCGCACAGCCAGCTGAGTCAAGAGACATAAGCGAAGAAGGGACGCTGTTAGCGATTAGACCGATTGCGCTGGGTCTGGCTGTTAATGTTAAAAAGGATCAGGATCTTCACTGAGTGCACCTTAAGTTGGTGTAAAGTGACTGAGTACCAAGTAATATTTTCAATGCGTAGTAGGGACTGGGAAAGCATTGAGCCTCTAATGGGAACCTCACACAATAAATTCAAAGGGAAAGCGGTGGGGAAGCTGACACTGGCATGAATCGGCATTTGCCCTGCCGCCGGTCTGGGCCCCCTCCTCCATCTCTCCGCCGACCCCACTGCTCCTCGCCCAGGTTCCTCTCGTCCTGTGACTGTTTTTCCGACTGCAAAGGCCCTCCCCCTTCTCATCCTCTGTCTTGCTCTTACTCACTCTCCCTTACACGCTGTCTCCCGGGTTCTCCCTCTTGGGCTCTTTTTTCCCTCCTCTCCCCGCCCACTCCACACTCGAGCTGGAACGAAGATGCCGGCCGCCTAGCGAGCGCGGACTTTGCAGCGGGACACCGGGAAAGTCAACAAGCCCTGGTAGGCACGGCCAGGGGATCGGGCCTCGGCACGGAACAGCACGCGGCGTCCCAGAGCGCGGTCGTCCCCTCCGCCACCCGAGGCTGCGGAGGGGGCCGGGGGCCGCGGGGCCCGGCTGCCGGAGGGCGGGAGGGGGAGGCGGGTGTCCCGCGAGGACTGGGGTGAGCTGAACGCCGGGGCGGGCGGCGTCAGGCGGCCCGGCGCCAGCGGGCTGTGGGGTACGGGCAGAGCCAGGACCCACGTCCCGCGTGAGGACGCGGCGCGGTGCGGGGACACAGAGAAGACACGCACAGCTGGAGGCCGAGCGTGCAGGCCTCGGAGCGACTCCAGCCGGACAGACGCTGGCCCGGCCCCAGCGCCCGGCCCCGGGGCGTTTAAGGGCGACGCGGAGCTCCGCGCGGGCGGGGCGGGCGGGGCCGGGGCCTGTGCCGCCCGGGAGGACCGGGCGGGGACGCGGCCGCGGAGCGCCGCTTTGAACCACAAACACCAACGCCCACCCACCACCGCAGGGGCTCCTTCGCGCCAAGAAAAGTTCTGGCGCCAGGAAATTACGAATTGGGGCGGAGCCTTCTGGGGGCGGGGCCTGTAGAGGCGGGGTCAGATGGACTGGGACCGAGCCAGAGAGTGGCGGCGCTGCCAGCGTGGGGTGGGGCCAGTGCGCGGGCGCGGCCGGCGTGGGGCGGGGCCTGGGGAGGGTGAGCGAAAAGCGGGGACGGGACGTCAGCGGAGAGGCGGGGCTGGGGCCGGGGTGCGGTCGGCGTGGGGAGGATTCTGGGGAGGGCGAGCGCGGAGCCGGGACGGGGCGTCGGCGGAGGGGCGGGGCCTGGGGAGGGCGAGCACGAAGCCGGGACGGGACGTCGGCGGAGGGGCGGGGCCGGGGCCGGGGCGCGGCCAGCGCGGGGCGGGGCCTGGGGAGGGTGAGCAGGAAGCGGGGACGGGACGTCTGCGGAGGGGCGGGGCCTGGGGAGGGCGAGCACGAAGCCGGGACGGGACGTCAGCGGAGGGGCGGGGCCTGGGGAGGGCGAGCACGAAGCCGGGACGGGACGTCAGCGGAGGGGCGGGGCCGGGGCCGGGGCGCGGCCAGCGCGGGGCGGGGCCTGGGGAGGGTGAGCAGGAAGCGGGGACGGGACGTCTGCGGAGGGGCGGGTCCTGGGGAGGGCGAGCGCGAAGCCGGGACGGGACGTCAGCGGATGGGCGGGGCCGGGGCCGGGGCGCGGCCAGTGCGGGGCGGGGCCTGGGGAGGGTGAGCAGGAAGCGGGGACGGGACGTCTGCGGAGGGGCGGGGCCGGGACCGGGGTGCGGCCGGCGTGGGGCGGGGCCGGGGCGGAACGTCAGCGGAGGGGCGGGGCTTGGGGGAGGGCGAGCGCGAAGCCGGGGCGTCGGCGGCGGGTCGGGGCCGCGGCCGGCGTGGGGCGGGGCCCGGGAAGGGCGAGCGCGGAGCCGGGACGGGACGTCGGCGGCGGGGCGGGGCCGCGGCCGGCGTGGGCGGGGCCCGGAAGGGCGAGCGCGGAGCCGGGACGGGACGTCGGCGGCGGGGCGGGGCCGCGGCCGGCGTGGGCGGGGCCCGGAAGGGCGAGCGCGGAGCCGGGACGGGACGTCGGCGGCGGGGCGGGGCCGCGGCCGGCGTGGGCGGGGCCCGGAAGGGCGAGCGCGGAGCCGGGACGGGACGTCGGCGGCGGGGCGGGGCCGCGGCCGGCGTGGGGCGGGGCCCGGGGAGTTGAGCGCGGAGCAGGGACGGGACGTCGGCGGAGGGGCGGGGCCGCGGCCGGCGTGGGGGCGGGGCCCGGGGAGGGCGAGCGCGGGGCCGGGCCGGGACGTCGGCGGAGGGGCGGGGCCGCGGCCGGGGCGCGGCCGGCGTGGGGCGGGGCCCGGGCGGGGTGCGTACGGAGGTAGGAAGAGGCGGCCGCAGACTTTCCGGTCGGCCCCTCGTTCGCTGCCGCGCGCCGGCCGGCTGGCCGCTCGGGTCGGTTGGCGGCTGCCTGGTGTCCGAGGGATCCGGCCGCTGCTTCCCCACTTCCGGGGAGCCGTTTCGGGCAGTTCCAGGTGAGACTTCGAGCCGCGAGGCCTCTTGCGTGCGTGCGCAGACGCCTCCCGGGTGGGGTGACAGGTGTGTGCACGGCCCCCGGTTGTGTGGAGGCGCCGGGCTGGGGGCGCGGGGCCGGCGGGACCCCGGCCGCCGCCGCCGCGGCTGCTGCGCTGGGCGCGCGTTCGCGGAGCGAGCGGGGGTGGCGGAGGCCAGGCGGGAGAGCGCGGGGCGTCCTCGGCGGGAGGCAGAGCCGCGGCCGCGGGCTCCGTGTCGGGACTTGGGGCGAAGCGGGGCTGGCATCCGAGTGTCGGTGTAGGTCGTTAAGTGCTCCGTGGATGGCGAGTTCCCGTTGTCCGACGTCTGCTGTCAGAGCTTTCCGAAAATGTTTTATTTTGAGAAGTATGGGATATTCTAATCAGGGTTTTTGTTTTCTATTTCTCGATGTTTTGTGTCCAGTTAGGATAATGAGGCTCGTAAAACGGGTACTGTTTAGGAAATACGTGGTTTTCGCTTTTAGTTAATGAAAAATTAATTTTTTAGTATCTGAGGACATTTGATACGGATGTTTATTGTTTCCCATTGTTAACCTTAAAAGTAGAACTGCCATTTATTTTACCAGCTGGTAAATGTTAGGGAATATTTGGGAATAGAATTGCAATCCGGGACAAACAAGCTGCAGAAAAACTGTAGGCAAGTAGGGGAACAAAGGAGAGGCATGCTTTTTTAAGGAGAAAAGGGGTAAGTTGGGAAGGTTGCTGTGAACTAAAAGTCCATTGGAGGAAACTGGGAGTTTGAAGTGTGGTGGCTTCTCATTGGCTGAGCTGTGGTCCTGGGGGCGATGAGGAGAGCTTTTCTTCCTCCTGCTGGAGTTGTAGAGTGGTATCCACGTGCAAGGTCAAGTCCCTGAAAGGTCCAGTCCCTCTTCCTACCGGGTCTGCAGTTGCCTGAGAGTTCTCCCTGCCAAATCTCCCGACTCCATTTTAGGGAGGTTTCCCATTACGAGTTTTCACACCATAAACGTTAAAAAACAATGATCAAATTGGATTTTCAAATTTCAGTAGCTTCATTTATACCCTTAATAAACTCTTACAAGAAACTGTAAATTAATAATCTTCTTTTTAATGTTTCCTTTGGAAACACTGAGGTTTATGCTGGTTGGAATTTGGCAATACTAGATTGCGACTGTTCATGCTGCAGAACTTACCAAAGATTTTAAGAGAGGACACCCTTCTGGCTTTCTCAAAACTTCTTCTTTTTTTTTTTTTTAAGATTTTATTTATTTATTTGACAGAAAGAGGCAGCGAGAGAGGGAACACAAGCAGGGGGGAGTGGGAGGGAGAAGCAGGCTTCCCGCGGAGCAGGGAGCCCGATGCGGGGCTCGATCCCAGAACCCTGGGATCACGACCTGAGCCGAAGGCAGACGCTTAACGACTGAGCCACCCAGGTGCTCCTCTTTTTTATTTTTTATTTTTTTTTTAAGATTTTATTTATTTGACAGAGAGAGAGACAGCGAGAGAGGGAACACAAGCAGGGGGAGTGGGAGAGGGAGAAGCAGGCTTCCCGCGGAGCAGGGAGCCCGATGCGGGGCTCGATCCCAGGACTCTGGGATCATGACCTGAGCCGAAGGCAGACGCTTAACGACTGAGCCACCCAGGCGTCCCCATGGCTTTCTCAAAACTTTCAAGTTGATTTAATATTAATATTTGAACTCAGATCAATTGAGAATTTGGTAGATATTTTTCTGTTAGGCAATAGAACAGTAACCACTCTGGAGTTCTTACAAAGAAGGGGGGCCCTGCTCTCCTCCAAATCTCCAAATCTCCATTCCCCTGAGCTCAGCTTACTCCTCAGACCTGCTAGGAAGTGGACTCTGACTAAGGAAATGAAACAGAAATAACATAAGAAATAACATAAACAGAAATGAAATGTAATATTAAAACCTCGGTTGGGGCGCCTGGGTGGCTCAGTCGTTAAACATCTGCCTTCGGCTCAGGTCATGATCCCAAACTAAACTGTACACCATGTCTCCGAGTCTCTGTTTCTTTGCATCCCTTTTTCAGGAGAAAATGCATCCCTACATAAGTAGTGCTTATTATAATGGAAATTATTCTTAGACCACTTTCCATTGAGGTTATAAATTATTTCACATAATCATGTGAATTTTGACTTTGCATGGGCTTTTTCGTGGGTGTCAACAGGGGAGAGCATAGGGGTTTGATATTCTCTTATTTTCTGAAATGACCACTGCTTATGTTTTATCTAATAAAAACCAGTTTTCCTGGACTGCTAACTTAAAGGACAGAAAGAGCCAGCAGTAGGGAGCCAACTATCAGATCCAAATAGAATATCTTTAATCTTTTTATTTTAAGATTAGCATCTCCCTTCTCAACTCTCTGCCTCTCAGATATAACTGAGCTGGGGTGAATATAAGGAGCTCTGTCTTAGCAATTGTATCTTAATGCTTCTATTCATTTTCCTTTCACAAAGAAGCTTCCATATGGTCTTTTGTTTGCGGAAAAAATACCCAAACAGATTTTAGTATTTGTTTGCCAGAGATGAACACTGAACAAAACAGAAATGAAATGTAATATTAAAACCTCGGTTGGGGCGCCTGGGTGGCTCGGTCGTTAAACATCTGCCTTCGGCTCAGGTCATGATCCCAGGGTCCTGGGATCAAGCCCCGCATCAGGCTCCCTGCTCCGCGGGAAGTCTGCTTCTCCCTCTCCCACCTCCCCTGCTTGTGTTCCCTCTCTCGCTGTGTCTCTCTCTGTCAAATAAATAAATAAAATCTTTTAAAAAATAAAAAAAATAAATAAATAAAACCTTGGTTGTTAACTGTCACCAAAGGGCTGTAACTGACTCACTGTTCCAGTGCACAGACCACTTGGCTAATTCACGGTCCTGTCAGGCTTGCCTCACCTTGGGACATTTGCATATGCTCTTTCCTTTTCAGCACTGGTTTCCCCAGGCCTCT